GAAATAATATGAATAACAATTTACAATTACAGTGAAATGTGGCTCACTAAATATGGAATAATACGATCTTACAGGTAATATTTTGGAAAAAAAAACTTTAGATTATTTATGGGGTCTTCTCCATCTTAAAGACAAAAAAGAGTGAAATGGAAGGTGGCTGATGAGCTACCCCTTGAGATGAACAAGTTTGTCAATCGTGAATGGACGCTAAAAGTCATAAAATTGAAAAGGCGACGAGCAATCTTAGAGGGTTCGATCAACGTAAAAATTCTGGACAATGAATTGTTCTTTAATATAACCAATGTGGCTATCTTACGAAATGGATACTTATTTGCTGTTGATCAGGCGAACAAAAACTAAAACTGTTCAACAAACTCTTGAGTTTCAAGCAAGTTCTCAGATTCGCTCCAACTCAAAAGTATTTGTCTCGTTTCAAGGATAAGGTCGAAAACGACAAATTAAAACTTTTAAAATTAAATTGATTTAAAAAAGAAAGACTTGAAACAATTCAAACTATATATAAATAATCTGCTATTATGAGTTACAGGTTTGGGGGTCTACCCGCTATAAATATCTCAGGAAAGCGGTAACAAATGCATCTCACGAATTCTAGAAGTGAAATTATAAAACATGTTCATAGAGAAAGCTTATTTTTAAACCCAGACCACATTACAATGACAGGTGATATGAATTTTGATATACATGACCGTAGAAACCGACCGGTACGTTATATTCGCATACAAGGAAATAAAAGGACCGATGGATTGTTATATTGATAATATCGGCTACATCTTTGTTGCGCGACCCGAAAAGATTTGTCGCAGGATAGAAATTTATATAAAATGTACATTGCCTTATGTTTTGTTATACATTTCAAATAAAATATATTAATTTAACTGTATCTTAATGTGTTATATATTATTTGACCCCTGATCCTATACCGTTATATCTCTCTATATATTTCTATTATTCTTATCTGTCATTGTTACTAACCTGTCACCCGTAAACTTGATATGCTATGTTCGGGTATGTTGTGTGATGCTCCATTGCACTTCATATCTGACCATTACATGTTAAAGTTGTGTAATATATTTATATTGTGTTTATATATTGTTTAATAAATATCTTGGATATTACAGATTTGCATTTGTTGTGTCTGTCTATTAATATGCCTGTAATACAAATAATTGTCGACGTAGCCCAGTCGGCAGTTATTTGTATTACAGGTGGGGTAATAGACAGACACAACAAATGCAAATCTAACCAATCCTATTACAAGAAGCAAAACTGATAGCGAACAGCATGGATCCTGATCAGACCTGACTCAATATAGACGCCGATAAAGTAAATTTTAGCCTTTATTTGTCATAAAGCGATGAATATTATTACCTCGAGAAAATAATGTCATATGCTAGCAAATGAATATCCACAACTTGCTGTAATATGCAATTGGCGTTATGTCTTAAAAAGGGAGTGCGCTGCTAAACTTAAGATACGTATAGTATTGTATGCATGTAACTAACAGATCAAGCACACATGCATGAATATAGAAAAATGAAGTTTTTCATGTTCATTTCTCTATTTATAGTGCAATTTTGTCGTACTAAATCATCACTTTTTGTATTGTAACTGCATGTTGCTAAAAAGCTTTTTTCGATGCACATACCGCATTAATAACTTTTCTATCTTGAGAAAATATTAGAAATGATAGTTTAACGTCTCAATTCCGACTAAAAGGACGCAAAGAAAAGAGGAATTGATAAAAGATTGAACTTGATTTTCTGCCAGAATGTTAGCCACTTTCATGGCATTTCTGCCATCGACGGCAGCATTTATCTACAACGGCAGCATTTTTTCTTCGACCGGACAAGATTGAGCGTCTGTAAAACTTTCAAGAAAAGACTCACGGGTTAGATATTTGGCTTGCGTGACCCCAATGGATAAACGTCTATATAGGAAATCCTGCCATTTACTTAAAACTTGAGATATTTTGAACAGAAAACAGACATTTTCACGGACTTTTCCGAGGCTGTCACTTTTAACCTGCTCAAAATAGTCTTAAAACAGGAAAAAACGAGTCCAAAATTACCTTACAGTATCTCCATTCAATGGACAATAGTTTTATAGCAATGAAATGGGCCGTATTTGTGTAAATTAATATAATTTAACCAACCAAATTTATAACCTACCTGTATCGATCGGTAATTTTCAGATATCTGCCATCACTGATCACTCCAGTGATCTGCCATCACTGCCGCGGGTAATACGGTGTTAACGCCCTTTCCGGAATTGAGACCCCTGACATGTCACCAATTATGTCCGTAAATAATATCAAAGTTGCCAAATGATGACCTATTAATGCAATAGAGGCAGTTTAAAAATGAGATGAATTTAATATTAACCAATTGTGATGTTGACATGAATGCAGAATTCAAGGTGAGTAGAATTATCTCCTTTATTCATAAAAACACCAATCTACAAAATAGAATAAATCCTCATGAAGATCCAACATGAATTCTTGACCTAGACATGAAAATAGAGTTTGCTGAAACTCTGGCAGGCCAATTAGTTACTTACTCTTTCTGAGAGAGACCAGCAGTTGTAGGATAGAACGGGTTTTACCTATTTCAACCTCCTCCTCCTCAGATTTAACACTTTTTTGATGCCGCACTGGAAATATCAAATTAAAGTGGCATTTTGTTTTTAAATAAAAATAATTAATCATTTAAACTTCGGTTCAGTTATATGGCAAATAAGAAACTGTAACAAAACACACAAAAAATAAGCTTTGGTTTAAACAAATGTATTTGGGTATTTTTAAAGACAGCTATACTAACCCCATACTTTACCTAAGTGTTGTTTTCTTTTTCTGGTCCTTGGTCTGGATTGAGTACCGCTCAAGCCGGTGCAAGGGGGCGTGAAGGATGTTGCACGTATTCATAATCCCTCATGTACAGACTCAATCAAACTGAGTCTGTAATTTTCATGAAATTTTGTTGAGATTAATGCTTCCGGAGGATTACTTTATTTTCAGATTTCTATGATTCCTGGTGTTTTCAAATACTGAAATAAAAGTTTTATTTTTCTTAAAATTACTTTGTTCTGAAATCAAAATGAAAACTTAAGTTCAAGCCGTGTTAGACCAAATAAATTTATTTTCTTTTTTCTTTTTCTTTTTAACTGTAAATTATGCATTTCAGCAGTGCAAAATTTCTATATTAAATATCATTATCAAAAATATGAATACAGGATTTGAAAGCAGGAAAATGTTCTCACAGGTCTTTATTTACAGATCTATTAATTATATCAAATCTTTCCTCCATTTTTATGATTCATTTTAGTAATAAATAGCAGTGTCATAATATATTACATTTTAAAACTTCCAGATCTCAACATCATTTGTACTGTAAACCCTCTAATTAAAGAACTCTACCTTTATCCCATTAAATAAAGATCCATACCTGTAACCCCTATAGTTCAGGAACCATTCATGTACCCAATTTATTAAAGAACCATAGCATTAACACGTCTTGTTCAGGAACCATTCCTGTACCCCATTTATTCAAGTATTACATTTTTAACCTGCTCTACCTGTACCTTTTTTTAAAGAACCATATCTTTAATCATTCTAATTCTTGAAGCATTCCAGTACCCCCTTAATTAAAAAAACATACGTTTATCTTTCACTTCTTTAATTAAAGGGACCATTTATTAAAGTACCTTATCTTTAACATTTCTAATTCAAGAACCACACCTGTAACCCATTACTTAAAGAACCATTATGCTATCTTAAACCCTTGTTCAAGAACCATTTCTGCACCCCATTACTTAGTAAACCTTATCTCTAGCCATTTTAATTCAGGAACAATACATGTACCCCATTAATAATAGAACAATAATTTCAAGGGATATAGACCCTTGCTGGGTTTATTATTCCATTTTAGTTGGAATAAAATGTCTTTAAGGACTAATGATAGGAAAAAAAGTCGCGTAGACTATAAAAAAATGATCCAAAAGGAGAACCGTTGATTTCGGATGACAATGGAGAAGAGGTTATACCAAATTGCCGACTGCTTCTGCTGGTTTATTGGAAGAGTAAAATCCCTGTGGGATATCAGCTTGTAAGGAGCAAGCGTCTGCTGATACCGAGGACTCGAATCTGGATTAGTATGATGGAGGAATTGAGAAGCTTAGAAATGTAATTTAAATATGCCCATTGATTTCAATTTTAAAACGAATCCGACTTAATGTCAATAGTTGGTTTTTTTGTGCTATCGGTTTCTACAAAACCATATTAATAAAAATATAAATAATGTATTGTTTGCTTTTGTACCTATGAATTAACTTATTTTTTGTGGGACTTTTTTACTACATATATTGGAAATAAAAATGTCAACAACTCCCAGCATTAAATTACTTTTGTTTACATGTTTTAGTTTTTTAGCGTAGGTTAGACGAAAATACCGCATCCGTTCTGAATATCCACACTATTGTGTTCGAGCGTCCTTAACCGAAGACTGACGGAAAGGGCCGAAAGTTGCCGATTGATACAGAACTTCTGATAAAACTTTAGTATAATATGATGTGGGCTGTCTTTATTATGTATACGATAAATATTTGTGTAGCGATACGAGGAAAAAAACTGATTACCTGTACCGTAAACAAAATATATTTTTATTCAGTTAAAACATTTTCAGACTGTTTTTGGTAAACAGGGACAAATTTTAAACTCCAACGTAATAATAGTTTATAACGGACGTTTGTTGATTATATGCGGATATTTTAAATCAAATTTTATTGAAAAATGAAATTTCTTCTCTCTATACTGGTTATTCATTGGTAACTTTGAATGTGTTGCTTGCAAACAATGATAACTGTAGAGAAAAAACGATCTGAATGCTTTAATGGTACGTCTGCGTGCACTTCGAACAGAATTTGACAAACAGAAGAATGTTCTCGAGGACCTAAAAGAAGAACTTTAAAGAACTTAGACAAAAATACATCTTCAGAAATAGCTGAAATTAAAGGTATTCTATCAAAATATTTATTATAGATGACAGTACTTATTAAGGGGGCCTCAATCTGAGGTATAACTTGACAGACTGGGTCAAAACTTTTTTTTCAAAAATATTTAAACCATTTGATTTAGGTCTTATAACCAATATTATGTACAAAATTTCAAATCGTTAAAAGATGTTTCTCTACCTTTTTCAATTGTTATTCACATTTAATTGAACAACATTTTTCAAATATTGAAAAATTTAAACTCAAGTCGGTTCTTGAAAATTGCTCTAAAAATTTCAATTTTTTCTGTATAAGACTGGAGTATATTTTTACATATATTTCCATTTTAAGGGTGTCCCTCTTTGATATATGGTAAAATTTTTCAAATTTTATGTTTTTAAAAAGGAGCTACTTAAAAAAAAATTTAATGCATTGAAAATTTTTTAAAAATAATAAATCATACTTTAAATTAAAGAAATAATTTATTATACAGGTTGAAGAGAAATTACTGCAAAATCATTTAGATCACTAATTTTCATGCTTTTCGAAGAATGTTCATAAAATATTATCCAATGACATCTTGTTTCGTCTGCTGTAAGGTTACTTTGCACAACCTTATTTGCATTTTTATTTTGTTTTGCAACAGTTTAAAAAAAAAACATGAAAATTTCTTTTTCGACAAAACCATGGCATTTCATGCCCATGGAACTATTATTTTATGTGGCTTCACAGTTATAGCAAGTGTTACTACAACACTTACCAGTGTAGGGACTTGAAAATATATGTTATATTTCCTCTTCCCGGTCTGCTTAAAGAAATAAAGATGGTCCCATCATTTATGTGCCAATTATACATATTATTTAACAATTCCTTTTGAAAACATCCTCCTAAATCAAATTCTGCTACAAAGTTATTCAGAGACAACTTAATGATTTTGAAATCTATGGGGATTATACCCAAACATTTCAAGATACTACTAGAGAGATGTTTTTTAAACAAAACACTGTAACAACCCAAAAATTTCACAAACAATAAATATCCCAATCATTTGAAGTTTAAAAAATGGTGTTTTCTTATTTTTCTATAACTTTTAAGGTAGCTCGCTAATTTCCTACAGAAATTGGATAACACATAGATCTTGATGTTTTGTTGGTATGCAAACATGTACATATTTAAGCTTTATTCTGTAAACAAGGAGCGTTAGTATGATGTCTAAGAGCCCCCTATAGGCGGCGGCAGAATTGCGTCTTTTTATCCGTAAAACATCATGTTCTTCATTTAAATTTTAAAATGTTCACTAGTGTATGCCTTTATACTGCTTTCTTCATTTTATCTTTGCTACTTACTCGTATACTTCGATTTTACATATAATTTTCCTCCGTTTTGACGTACACATTGTTAAAATATCGCGCGTCATGGCAATACCAGTTGTGAATTTAAAAAAAAAATGGCATGTAGTTAAATAGTGAATGAAAATATTTATTCAACAATTATATAGGGTTAATGCGCAAGATATTTTGCTATCACTGTTTTAAACATGTCTTTTCGGTTCTCTCAAAAATGGATTTAAAAAGCATTTAAATACTCGTTTTAATCAAAATTTGTGGAGAATACATGTGCTAATGTCAGAAGAGGATATTTGTGTAACCAATCCGGACATAAATGTAAAATTGAACGATAAAAAGCACTGCGAATATTCGCCATTGAATGACAACGTGGATGTGTGTTTACCATATTAGGGGAACCAAACGGGGACCTAAATAGTAGGGTTTCTAGTGTAGAGGATTTCATTGTTTTTGGTAAATATTAAGATCAAATCATAGATTTATTAACTACTAAATACAAACGTATCTATTCCACATCGAGTAAACAAAGATACAGCTATTGACCACAATGGTAGGCGACTTATATATCTATGTCTATCTACTGGGTTACAAATTGCAAATGGCCGTTTAAATAACGAACCAGGAAAATGTACTTTTGTTATCACCGAAAATAATTTACTATTAATCTTTTTAGACTTTGAAACTGTGTCGCAGTTCAGTATATGAGATCATGTTGCTATGGAGTTTAAATTTTCGCTACGTTTAGCAGACGACAATATTAGCACGTGCACGAATTCATCGTTTAACACAGCTCCCTTGACCTCTAAAATAGTATCGGATGACAAAAAAACAACATATTTTTCGTGCATAGGTCAATATTACACAAGATCACATTATCGAACGCGCATCTCACGCACCAAATAAATGGCTGATAGTGCGCATAAAATCTTCGATAATCTTACACAAAACATGTAACCATACACACTAGAAAAACAAGCAAACATTGGTTGCTAACTTCGTTTCGGCAAAAAAATGAGTTTAAACGCGCATATTATATTTTTGATCTTAAACAAAACAAATGAAAACATGGGTTTGTTCATGTGTGCTTGAACTAAGTATAATAAAGTGAAGAACAAAACATTTAATATGTGGGACAGAAAGTTAGCAATTTAGCTAAATCTCAACCTAGACAATTTTGGAAAAACACCCGAAAATCTTTTAAAAAAAGGCACCATTAAAGGCTGATAATCTTAATCTCGATAGTTTGTTTAACCATTTTAAATGCATTTTTGGTAAGGATCCGCGTTATTTGTGATTGTGCATTTATTTACAATTCTATAAACCAAAGCTACTTTTAACTTTGAATGCGTTATAATTCGTTGGATATTTGTAACAAAATTAGAATATTTCTTTCGTTTTCAACGCTAGTTTTAAGCTTTTTTAAGGTTAGGTTAGCTGCTGTTTTTTTTCGGAAGCTCTGTTCATGATCTTGAATTTCAGCATAAAAAAATACAAAAATAAGTTTATTTTACAGTTTGGTTGGCCTTATATTAAATTTTTGATGTGAAAAATGGGGGGGGGGTGCATGAGGCGACCGACATAGAACTGTAACATCTTGTATTAGGCGTGAAACATTCAACAAACCTTTCCGCATTTTACGGAAAACTATGACGCGTACCTCTAGCTGTATTTAGAAAAATAAACATTATTAAATATTGGATAAAAATACATGTATGTAGGGTGCATTGACTCTTAACTAATTCAGCAGACCTATACGTTTCTAAAAGCTGACGCTGAGAGTGGGCCATAACTAGGCTGCTCAAGCGAACAGTATTTTAGAAGTAAATGGATTAAGCTATGTTTGGAATCAACGAACGGATGTGAATAATATACCGTTACAGTTGATAAAACAACGCATATTAGTTACATATTATCAAAGCTGGTACTCAGACATAAATAATTTGCCACGCCTCCAATCTTACTGTATAATTAAACATAATTTTCAGACAGAACATTATTTAGATTACATTAAAGAGAGCAAGTATAGGGTTTCAATATCAAGAACTTAGCACATGTTATTTTATAGAAATTTATTTATAGAAAACGGACGTAACGAGAATATCGCGTTAACAGAACGTCTTTGTAAAACGTGTAATATTATAAAAAAAAGCAGAACCTGAATTTTACTTTATTAGCTCGACTACAAGTATATAGAGAGCTGTCCTACTCGCCCCGGCGTCGGCGTCCGCGTCCGCGTCCAGATTTCAGATTAAAGTTTTGGTGCAGTAAAATATTTTCCACTATAACTTTGTCATTTCTTAAGGTATCAACTTCAAACTTCAAATATATGTTCCTTATCCTCAACCACATCTTATGTGACAAAGTTCATAACTCTAGCACCAATATTTTCAGATTTATCTCCCCTTGAACTTAGAATTTTTCTTAAAAAATACTATTTTTTATTGTTACTTCTTTATTTCCTAAGGGATCAAGTTCATACTTCGAATAAATATTCCTTATCATCAGCCAAATCTTATGTGACAAGATTCATAACTCTAGCACCAATATTTTCAGATTTATCTCCCCTTGAACTTAAAAAATACTATTTTTTCTGTTACTCCTTTATTTCTTAAGGGATGAATTCATACTTCAAATTAATGTTCTTTATCATCGACCACTTCTTATGTGACAAGGTTCATAACTCTAGCACCAATATTTTCAGATTTATCTCCCCTTGAACTTAGAATTTTCCTTAAAAAATACTATTTTATTGTTACTTATTTATTTCTTGTTTTGCTTGTGGTATTTTATTTCTATCTATTCGGCATCTTTTTTGTTGGGTGGTTCCATTATTCCTCACTTGAATACTGTTGAATCACCCTTAGGATATGAGGCCTGCTTTTTAAATTTGTCTTTTGACGTTATATCTGTGATATGCAGGCTTCATAACCTCAGATCCCTTTTCAAAATTCCATTTTATTTAGTTCCGCCCATTGTTTTTTCGTTTAGGGCGCACGCACTTTTTTACTTGGGGACCATATGCCGCTTTTCATGGAATGGCCCTAACGTGTCACATTGAAGGTTCCATGATAACCACCATATGAACACATCTGCAGATGTTTCAAAATTCTAAATTTTACCAGTTCATGTTAAATGTTGAATTCTGCTTAAGCCGGTGCTAGGGAGCGTGGACGGTAGTTTGCACTTGACAGTACCGTCCATGAATAGGCTCATTCAAATCGAGCCTGCAACATTTTCAATTTTGCCGCGTTGGGCTTTCTTTAAGGATTCTTATTTCACTCTATTTCATATTTCAAATATAATTTCCTTATCATCATCCTTTATTTATGTGACAAGGTTCATAACTGTAGCACCAATATTTTCATATTTATCTCCCTTTGAACTTAGAAGTTTCCTTAAAAACATTATTTTTTACTGTTATTTATTTTATTCAGGACGGATTTTGAGAATTTGGCTCCCTATAAGATGCTAGAGGCATTTTGTAGTACAAGTGGTGTCTTGGTGTATTTTACCTATTTAAGGTATGCTGAATCCGATAAAGGTGGATACCAAATTGAAAAACTTGATCTTGACCATTGAAATGGCCATTTAAAATGACCCAAATTTCTTTATCGTAAATGGATGATATATCAAATAAAACTGTTAAGGAAAGGAAAAGCCTGAAATTTCTCACAAAG